AAGTAACTGTGTCAGGAACCGAAGGTGCTGCCGAGGAAGAAAAAGCAAGAAGAAACGAAGATGTAAAATTGGTTGAAAAGGAAAAGGAAGGTGATGGAACAAGTCAAGAGGTGAAAGAGCCTGAAAACAAGCTGATATCAGTGAAGGACCGGCAGTCGCATGACAACGAAGGCTTACAGCCACCATCATTGAATGGCACTCATGAAGCTGAAACGATAACACCATCAGAAGACAGTTTGCAAGTAAATAAAGATAAACAAGATTTGCCGAGTCCCTTGCAGCTTCCATTACCCAACAGCGCAGCGGATGGAAACCCATCATCCACATCTGCAGCTGGCCGTGGTGACGAGAAAAGTCACGAAAACGGCAATGGCACGAGGAATTCTCAGCAGTCTGTCGCAGAAGACATTGAACAGAACAAAGACGCCGGCGAAAAAGTTGTCGCTCCAACGGGTGGAGAGGAAGATTCACGATTGCCGGTTATGACGGTTGAAGAAATGCGTGGTGCAACAACGAAGAGCAACAGCGGCAGCAGCACCACGGCAGCTACGGCCATGCAGTTTGACACTGGCACAGAAGGCACTCCAACCAACAATCATCCGAACCGACCCTCCATTGACGGCGACACACCACCCGGAAGTATTTCCGATGGTGAAGCTGCATCAGCCAACAAATACGATACGGTCTCTCAGAGTGCGGGATCCACAACAGCGCCCACCACAAACGCCAAAACAGGTGAAACGGATATGCCTGGCGACAGTGACGGCAGCACCGCGGTGTCCCACACCACCTCCCCTCTTTTGCTTCTTGTTGTTGCGTGTGCGGCTGCGGCTGCGGTGGTGGCCGCGTGAGAGTGAGTGAGAGAGAGCCGTGCACCGCCCGCACACACACTCGTCTTTCACCCACTCTCTGTGTGTGTCCCCTTGCATGGACTCTCGCCCTCACCTCACCCCACGAAGCACACACATAATGTGCCCACTGTATATATTGCATGCACACCCATGCAGGCCCGTTGGTGCTCTCTTTTGCACGACACGCACCGCTGCCGTCCTGCCTGGCTGCATGGGCGGAGCACCGTAACTGTTTTTGTTTCCGTTGCATTGAGTGGGCGACCTCTCTCTCTCTCTCCCTGTGTGTGTGTTTTGCTTTACGGGAGCAATGAGAGTGTGTGCGCTGGTCGTCCCACCTGTTGCTGCGCGTCCCCACTGCTGGGTGGACCCCCCCACGCTTCGGCTTTTGTTGTTGGTATTTTTTATCCTCTGCCTGTGTTGTGGTTGAGTGCACCCATCTTGCTTTTTTTGATTGCTGGTTTGCTTTGACTGCGGACGCCTGATTCCTCTTTGTGTGTTCTCACATTGTTTTCTTTCTCCTTCTAAAAGAGTCAGCCACTCGTATCCTTGTAAAGCCACCACGTCCTTTTCTTTTCCACATACGCCATGCGTCAGTTGATCCACGGCACCCCACGGTCTGCAGCGCTGCTGGAGCTGCTTGTGGTGATGCCTGCGACGTGAATTGCCAGCGAGTGCTTTGCTGCCACCCTGACGTATCCTCTGTTTCCTTGACGATGTAGGGCGTACCGACGGCGCGTGGGCGTCTGTGGTGCTGGTGAGGCACGTGCGTCTCAAACCGCATGATGCGTCGCAGGTGTGCAGCGTCGTTTCGAAGCACCAATGGGCGTTTCTACTCATCATGGCGTCCACAACGGACCCGGAGGC